GTGCTGTTGAAAACAATGCCACAATATTCCCATTGTGCTCTAGGATACGTGTAGGCGCTAGTCACCGCTGATTGTGATTCACCAGCCTCCTAATGTCCAATGGCATTATTCTGTTGAGCCCCAGTAAGCTTAGGAATGACTTTACAACTACGTGTTTGAAAACTGTCACTAACATGGCCACAATCCGAGGGGTTTATTGTGTTGTGTGACATTAATTCCTAAAAATCCGACCAGACCTGAAAATATATATGCTGGATGAGATCAACAAAGCCACAAGGCTTTGCTGTGTACTTCCGCATCCTTTCCTCGGTAGCGATCAATTCAATCTGGTTGTAATTTCTTACGTTTTGTAACTGTTTTCCGTACACAGCATTTGAAAGCAATTTAAACAAAGCTTTCGAAACGTCGTCTGTTGCTTCTTTTCACTTTTGAGTGTTAAAGTCGATGTAAGGTTTCATCCATTTAGATTGAGTAAACTTTGTGTACTATTTTCAGTTTCAGACCCAATCGTAAATATTGCTGCAATGTTTGTCTTTCAATGTTGAAAACAGTTTCGTCCCCGTGGGTGGCTTCCCCTCGTCCTTCTTTCCCAAAAGACCTAACTCTGCGAGCAATGCACGATGATAGGGTGACAGGTCTTCGAAGGGAATGCTTTCTTTGCTTGGAGCGAGGGGCAAGGATTGAGGGACAGAGTGAAGATGACGTGGGTATTCCAAATCACACTCTAAAATGTAACCCACATCACCTTCGGGATCGAGTTGCAACCAATCGATGACATCTATTTCATCTATTTCATCTACCCATTGAAAATCACCTTCAGGCAAAGGACAACTCATGGCTGCTCCGTACAAAATGTTAATACCATAATAGATCAGGTGAGATTCGGGTTTGGATGGGTCGAAATCGAACATGCGTTTATTATCGGCTTGGGCGTGATGATGATTGATACTAGCCACACAAGTCATCGTCCGCATTGTCAATGTTTAACAGACAACGTTTTTTCTCTAATGAGGGGGGAAAGGGGAGATAAGAACTTCCGCGAAAATGTTTAAATTTGCCCACAGATAATTTAAAGCTCAACACTTTTTCAAAATTTAAGTTTGAACTTTCCCCTTCGTAATTGTCCATCAGTTTCATTATTGTATTTATGGCTTCGGTGTACAACACATCCAAATCGTCAGCTAGTGTTGCTGGAGACATTTTTGTTCTAAAGTAAGGTTCAGAAAATGAAGTTAGACCATCCGAGTTGGTTTTGCTAATCTAAATTGAGTACATAGTCCCCACTTGATTGATCGTTTTGTTTCCAGTTCTGTTTTCAAATGATGAATTATGTCAGGTTGAATTTTCACAAAATAATAGTATGGGTCCTTCCCTTCATCACCCCGGGGAATAAAATCAAATTCCCTCGCATTCCCAGTCAACGCTTGTCTAGAGTATGACTGTTGATTATCCGCATTAGTGTTCTTACGTTTAGCCGCCCCTTCACCTCTTTGCTGTTGTGAACTTGGAGAAAAGTGTTTCTGTCTAGTGCGTTTGGTGAGAGCTTTCACTGTGGGAAAGGTCTTTGTACAGACACGACATGTGAATGATAATCGAGAACCTGTGTTGAATGAACTGTCTATGTGTTGACTTTTAGATGTCTTTGTAATGTTTCGCTGCGCGAAAATGATTTGGAACAGATGTCACAATCAAAATGCTTGTTATATGGACCACAGTTTCTCTGATGTCTAACAATTTCAATTCTTTCTGCTGTTTCATCATGTTGTGATCTCCTAAAAGCTTCTATCACTTGACGTAAACTGTTCTGCCTGATGACAATGCACATCAAGTCTCGATTGGATTCAATCCTACCACACTGGCTCAGAGTAGCTCTTTGGTTGGTAGAACATGCGAATGTAATCATTTCTTTTCAAACAAAACGTCCAGAAAGGATGGGGTTTCTAAATTATGTACGATATAAGTCCAATTGACTTGAATTGCATTTTATTCTATTGGTATCATTTCAGTTGTTTATTATCGCACTTACAATAAAATCAAAGATAAACAATTAATATGGTCAATAGTTTGGCATGAAATGCATGTGGACCCGGTTTTTTGTAAATATCTCTTCATCCAATGACCCAATCGATCTCAAACTGTGCAAATGGATGTTTTATCAGACAACCTAAGCACATTGTAAATCACCGATTTTTATGCATTTGGATTAAAGAATCTGTCTATGTAACTGTCAACAAAATAAACAGCAGAACGCAGAAGGCTTGCAGAGGGAGGGAGCCAATGACCTGAATAAATAACTAGTTTTAATTAATATCTGTGATAATCTAGTTGTTTTACTGTTCAACGTTGACAGGTTTTTATAAATTATTATCATCTGCATCTTGCTTTTAGTCACGATATGACTGACATATTATATTGCCAAAGTGACTTTAAATTTTTACTCACTAGCTCACATAATTCATAACAGATTATGAGTAATAGCAATAGATATATTCATCTGTTGATATATAGGTTTTTGTGTTCGTGATTGAATTATTCAAACAATAACAATTCACACGTTTCTCGTTCCTTGGGGATTTTTTTAATAGTACTATAAAGTGTATTAGAATACAGTTTTAAACAAACAAACAAACAAACGAAAAATAACATTGTACTTACCAGTCAAGTCTCAGGCGTTGCTACGAAAAATGCGTGACGCAAAAGGTTCCTTCCGCCCGGTCTAAAACCATGACAATATACAGATGCCTTTTATATATATTTTCTTCTCCACTGGATAATAAATGACATAACGCACGTCAATCTCTCGCCGACGTTGGCAGCTGCGCGACCACGGAAACCCGCAAATGCGATAATAAACGTCAAGTCGCGCGTCTCTCTCCCCCCTCCTAAAACCCGTCACAAAATACACTGTCCCGAAGAGCGTTCGGCGTTCGGCGGTCCCACTACGTCACGATCGTATCCGTTCTCGAGGATCCCGTCATCAGGCGATTTTCAAAGCCATACGATTGACGCGTACGACGTTAGCGTCACTGTATAAAGCGTAAAACCGGAAGCTACGTCAGAGCACCGCCGAAAGTGGTGTTAGCACCACCGGAAGCGGTGTTCTGTTTATTCTTTTATCTCTATTGACAATTGTGTTAATCGTTTGGGGCACTTCCCATCATTTGTATATCACCTGTATACGACTTTTACCAGATATATACTAACGATACCTGACTATCTATCCCGTAAATGTGTGTGTCCCACACTTACACAATGTAACAGGCCTCATGTAGTTGGAAAAAGTTTGGACTCATGTCTCATATCGGTATGTAAAAGTTTAGACCGTTAGAATTGGGGGCTTGCTTTGGTATGTTACCAATGGTAACATGTGTCTGCTATAAGAAGGCGGCTCAAGGATCGGTTGACTCTATGACTCGGGTTATTGCATACTATCTTGTCCCGGTCACAAGGTTGCCTGGTCCATGCTGACATATTTACATACCCCTTTAATGTAACTGGAGCCTTTGCTGACAGAGGCGTTGAACCAGAGTATACGATACAGTAACATGCATGTAACACTGTTTTGTGTATATTGCCCAGTGACCGGCATCTCCACGACGTGGTCAGTCCTGCTGACATCAGTGGCAGCTGTTCTCTACACTGCTGTTGTGAGTTCCTTCAATACACCATGGCACCATTGAGAGAAAAATAACGTGGTTTCGAAAAATCTATAAACGCCGATGTAAGGATCTACATGGCAGCTTACGTCAGGAGAATCATGGGAAAACGTGGTCTTATCTAAGTGAAAGATGTTCTTGAGACAATTAGATGACAGAATCGGTTGGTCTTTTTTGTCACCTGCCATCCTTGTTAACAAGGAAACGTACAACAAATTATTGTTTAGCTGGCACACCTAAATGTATGTAGTTGTTTTGGCTTTAAGAAACAACCAGATCTATAGAATATCAACAACAGATCGTCGTGGATTTACATTCGTAATGCTGATCTGAATGCTCTTCAATCCCAGTGCCCACGCTGAAATCCACGCATATATTATTTCTTCAACTCAGACCATAAATTACTATGTATAACAATTACATGTTCTCGTCACAATATGGCCATGTGACGATAAATTGTAACTCACTCACTCACTCAATCTTCAACACAGAGTAATGAAGATAACGGAGACGATATTGATGAGTAATTGTGTAGCAATATGTATTCCCTTTGATTAAATTGTGACATGTAGTGAACAGTATTGTGTGATACCAGGGTGGCCTGAAAGCTGTTATATGGACAGATGTCATCCAATATATACTTATGATTATTGGCGTGCTAACAGTTACAATAAAGGTGAGATTTACTGCTACTTTCTATTTGTTACACCAAATCAGGGGTTTGAAATTATTTTTGTCCGGTTACCGTTAAAAGGAGGTATTTTTTCTCTTTTTGATACCCTTTCGAATTAAGCAATTTCAAACAAAGCCTTGCGTATCGGTCCACCAATAGCCGATATCAATTTTAGAACAAACTAAATTAAGTAAAATGCAAACTAACCACCGTGCCAGTGCCCTTGCAGTTAAAGGGTTAACTGGCTTCCGTACATACATAATAACTTGTGCCAGTCTGCTCAAGTACCCATGAAATCATCATATATCTGATTGTGGTTCATCTGTGGAATCATTCAGGTGGTAAGTAGCGACGTTACCATGAACAACCATGAACAACTACAGTAATTGACGTAGTTCACGTTCTGCAAGGTCGGCGTTCAGGGTGGGTAGCCTGGTTCACAGCAGTTCACAACAGCTACATAAGCACAACTCAAGATAACAAAAGGCTTGATATTTAATAAAATTGTTGAAGTAATACATTCATTCACAATTCTTGTCGCTATTTTCACAACTTGTCACCGCCACAGTTGGACATTATAGCATGTTGATTTCCAAGAAATAGCTTGTTCCAAACTGTGAAAATATTCAACAGGTTACGAGGAAATGATATAGATCTCTATGGCGTGATAGTTCATCATTAGTTTTTAAACTAAATATTTTTTTACTATTAGTTTGTGAAGAAAAGAACAAATATCCTTGAAATTGAGATTAAAGGTGAATAGAGACTATGATGCTACAAATGTATTCACTATCTGTGATCCGTTTCTATAGCATTTCTAAGACCGCTAACATGTGTCTCAATATGTAAGTAAATGTTCTCAAGTGTTTAGGTACCACTATTCCCCGCCTCAAGAAGTCCTTAGACAAACCATTGATTAATTGATTTCAATTTGATAACAGGGAACAATCGACGTCGGAGGGGTACAAACAGTCCATGATGCTGCTGCAAACAGTGGCAGACTGACCTTCATGTAAGTATAAAGTAAAATAGATTTACGTGATTCCCAACGCAGGTTTGTGCATAACTGATGACCGGAAACTAGTCTGTGAATGAATGTACCCTTGTTGGATGTGTGAACGAGGCAGATACACACATTCGGGATTCTCTGGTTTACGACCCGTGAAGATCCGGGTTAGAATTGGCCTTCTGCAACCCCTGCTTGTCGTAAGAGGCGAATAACGGGATCGGGTGGTCAGACTCGATGACTTGGTTGACACATGTCATCGTACCTTATTGCGTAGATCGATACTCATGCTGTTGATCACTGGATTTTCTGGTCCAGACTCCACTATTTACAGACTGCTGCCATATAGCTGGAATATTTCTGGGTGCGGCGTAAACCTAAACTCACGCACACACTCTTTTATTTACGGATTTATAAACAGAACACTGTACATCATAATACGGACATATTGTGCTCTTGCATAGTTGACCTTGTGTGCCATGATGAGCAGCTGGGTATGTACACATTCCCCATGTGTCTCGCTGGGAACAATATGGTCCCAGAAGTTTGGATGTTGTTTCAGATTCTACCCTTATCATGAAGCAACTCCCCATTGCCTTATTACTTTCAGATTTGATATTGACCCTACAATTCGCCATACAGTATGGAACGTTGGCGTGGCCAGGGTATTCGCTGGAATGGGTTGGCTCGTGAAACCTGCATTTCTTCAACGTATTGCGTCAACAAAGTCACTCAAACACGCGAGATGGTATGTATGTATGTATGTATGTATGTATGTATGTATGTATGTATGTATGTATGTGTGTGTGTGTGTGTGTGTGTGTGTGTGTGTGTGTATGTATGGGTGGATGGATGGAGTAGGATATACATACAAAGTTACGTTAGTATGTATGTCTGCATGTCTGTATGCCTCCATTTATGACCTTACATAAAGCAAATTATGCCATATAATTATAAATATATTTGTGTCATGACTGTGACACAGTTTGCAAAAAGAAACAAACAAAAGTATATGTTTTCTGAAAGGGCGATGCTGCTTTGGCTAACGTGCTCTCTGGTGTTTGGATCTCTAACAATCTTCAGCGGTCTTGTGGCTTATAGTTACTACGACTACAAAAGATGTGATCCCATTGCATCAAATCAAATCGACAGCTTTGATCAGGTACTCTTTGTAAATTTCTTCCGATTTTGATGGTTTCATAGAACCATTGCAATGATAATTGAAGGTCGTCTAGTAACAACCTGTACATGGAGGTTTGCTGAAACGTTCCTAGTTTCCAAAACATATTCCTGGCAGTTTCGTAATGTTATAATCTCTGGTTACACCCTATATTCCTATCCGTGAGCCTATTTTGTCGTTGATTCTTCAATCAAACGTTTGCATTTTTCACTCAAGTTCAGTTCCTATGATCATACTGCCTCGCATATGGTAAACCTCAAGTCATTTCTCTCACTGTTCAACAGATTTTACCCTTCATGATCATCGACATTTTCCGGAACCTGCCAGGAATGCCAGGCCTGTTTCTTGCAGCACTCTTCAGTGCTTCTCTCAGGTCAGTTTGACCACATGACATGTACGACCACGTGTTTGCATGTGTTCATGACTAACAGTATGTATAACTAATTAAGAAGGGTTGTTTGCTCCACCCCATAAAGTATTAAGGGTAAAGTAACTCTTCCCTTAAACGATGCCCTGCAAAAAGACCGGTTGTTCTACTTAACTGCGCGCCTACATACTTACGATAAGAGTCGAACAGTGCTTATACAAAGTAAAACCAACGAAAGGTCTAGTTTGGAGTAAAGTAAGTCTTCTATATCATGCGTATTTGTGGTTATCGAAAATGCCACACACGAATGAGTATAGGTTTGTATCTATATAAATTTGGTTCAGTTTAATCACTCGACACAAAACATTGCTATATTAAGTAACCTAAGGAGATAACAGAGTTCAGTACATTGGGAAAAACCCTCCTTGTTAAACTTGGCCAAACTTGTTTATTCCAACAATAAAGTAAACTTGAAAGAATATTCACAATAGCAATTATACAATTATTTGAAAATACAAAATGTATGCAAAACAAATGTAATGATAATTGCTTATTATAGACTTACTGAATGTTTTGAAAGTACCTATATATGTTCTGCACAATGGCTAGCTAACAGCTGCAAGAAATATTAAAGGATTTAAAACTATACAGTTTAAATAATGCAGATTAAAACTGGCGCAGTTCAGTTGTGGAATGTTCAAAGGGTTTGTGCCACAAAGAAATTGATCACATCTGAATTTCTGAAAAGTATCTCTTCAAACCCAAAATTGTACAGTACTCTTTCTCAAATTTAGAACTAATATGCACTACCTCTCCAAGGAAACTACTTGTGCAGAGTGTTAACTCATCATGTGTAGCACCGTCAACTAAATAAATGAATTGAATAATGAATTGAATATTTAATCTGTGTGTATAAAGAACACTATAGTCTTATGCCAAGCCAGGCGTTTTCGAATTCATGGCACAGATACTGGTCAAGATGTTCCTTTGCTTGAGATACTCTCAATACATTTCCAACTTAGAGTCCTCTGAGAAAGGCTGAAGATGGGGTTCACTTGCTGAATGTCACCGATAGACAAACCAGATGAATTATAGGATGTTTACAATTCCAACTTGGGGTCCAGCTTCACCAGTGAATAATTTCATGACATCAACCTTTATTGTGCATACAACTCTAAAGGTGAATTTTCTCGCAGAAAAAAGGACCAGCTCTGTCGTTCGTCCAGCGAAGCATCTAGAGTCGTACATAAAATATATAACTTCATACCATTTGAATAAGTATGTAGTGACTAACTGGTTAAAATATTTCATATGTTTCAGTTCGTTATCGTCTGGACTATCAGCTCTGTCAAACATCACATGGGAGGACTTTGTAAAGCCCCATTGTCCTTCTATGTCGGAATTTAAACAAATGGCAGTCGCCAAATTAGCAGGTGAAACCAGTCAAAAAGGATGTTTCAGTATAGTTTATTAAGGTTTGAATACCTAAGTATAAAAAATAGGGCATGTACTTGATAGTCCCTTTTAAAAATTCAGTTGAATGGTTATATTATAGTAAACTGTAACCTACATGTACCTTATTGGAATATCTCTAACATCAATTACAGAGAGGAAGCAAGGAAGGTATCATTTTATTCCGGATCTTAATAAAACTATTTCTATGTTGAAGAAGGATAACGTAAAATCATGACATATTGCAGATGAGATGCACTGAAATTGGCTTTTCTCTCCTCAGTGGTGGCGTGGGGAGTTGTGATTTGTTGCCTGGCGATATTTGTGGCCTCCATTAAATCCATCACAATACTCCAGGTGAAAATATACTTCAACTATGTTACTCTCTCACTAACACGTATTGTTGTCTGATTCCTTGGTAATATTGTTACACGGTTATCTTTGAACTCTAAAGAAAGATTCTGTTTCAGATCTATTTCAGTGCTTCGTCAATTATATCTGGCCCAACAAGCAGCCTGTTTTATCTCGGTGTCCTCTTCCCATTTGTCAATAAAAGAGTACGTATATATTGATAATGTGTTATTACATATAACATTTTCTGGGGAAGGGTAATAATATGTATTTATAGAGACATTTGTAACTATCGACACTTGACGCATTTTAACATTTTTTAACTGTTAAGCATGTCAAACTCTTTCCAGAGTGCCATTGCTGCACTGTTGGTTGGATTGAGTTTTCTGACGTGGTTGGTGGTCGGTGCGAGTGTTTCCCCAGGGGTGAGGCAGACACCGCCTCTACCCCCTGCCCCGACAGATCACTGCCCGAGTGTCAACCTCACTGTGCCGCACACCATAACCATACTGAATTCAACCAATCATAATCAGGAGGTATTTGCTGGGTAAGTATGTGAAACTTCTGAAAGGAAACGTGCTTTTCATTGATAGTATATATATGCATATTCACCCTTTCGCCTCCTTGGAACAATTGTCGGGAGTATGCCTTCCTGAGAAATAATATCATCGAAAATATTTGCAAAAGGTGTGCGTGATACCACGGGATGTGGTATTTAATGGTGTTCCAATAAAATGTCTGATTTGGTCAATTATGATAATCCATATGTGAGTGGGGCTAGAAAACACACTGTGTCACGACTGCTGTTCAGTGATAAGTTCATATTATTTCACCGCTGTTTTGCCATTTACGCCCAGTGGAATCTGTTTCGTCGGAAAATGGACAAATGGAAAATGTTATTTTGTATTTCAAAATTACCAATCTGCTCATAAAGAGAATCGCCATTTGCGGCTGGATGATGCATTCTCTACCGCGTCCCCCCCAACCACAAGGACGTGGTGCTGCATCCTAGAGTCTACCAGGGCCGGCTGTATTTGTTGTTATTCTAATTTGTTACTCCAGTCCAAATTCTTATGTGTTTTCTTAACAGGTCAGGCCTCGACTACTTTTACAGCCTCTCGTACACTCTTTACCAGTGTTTCGGATTTCTCATCGTGCAGGTGCTGGGGGTGACTCTCAGTCTAGCCTCAGGTATGTGACCATATCAGCCTATCAGCCTTAGGTATAAACACATTATCGTCAAGCTGCTAAATATGATCACCTTCCATTACTCACATTGCTTCTGGAGATACATGTTACAACTGACTTGAATCCTGCAGGTCGGAACAAGACGAACAACAACCCTCTCTACGTAAGACAATACTTCTGGAGACACAGACCTCATGACGAACATATGATGGTTAGTAACACCAGAATACAAAGCCAGCTTTGTATGCATTACAAGTGACTCTCCGTGGCTGTAACATGAAATGTTTTGCTCTTACTTTATCTTCCCCACTAGTTTTCATTATATCATATCTAAAGGATCTTTTTAACAATGTTCGTGCCGCCATAATATTATCACCTGAAGAAGGGTCAAGAAGTATCCCAGAAACATTGTGTTATACAATAAACAAGAAGTTGTCATCCATATACTCGTCTTACATAATATTATGCTTCTAAAAAGAATAGATTTGTATCATATGTTTGTATCATATGTATATTGGTAGATTAAGTTTGATAACTGCGATTGTTAATGGCTATACCCTCTAAGGGAGTTGAAGTAACGTAAAATTATTGTCCTCAAAGAGGGTATGGTATGTAAGACAACATCTTTCAAAGTACTATTTTCTGCTCTGGTTTTAATCGTAGAAAACATGTATATGTTCTCTTAATTTGGCTAGTCTGTGAACAATCGCCAATAACTGAGGAGATGATGCTGGGGTTCATGCAGGTAGCCAAGGTACTGTAACTCCACATGGACCCTAGTAAGCTGATCTCCCTTGAGTTGTTGGCGATCAATAGCCTGTTCTTATCATGTATCGTTAACTATAGTGACGTCGTTTTGTATTAACACACTAGTTTTATACACAGTCTGTGATAATCTATTTGTTTTACTGTCCTTTGACTGCATTGAATATTATCAAACTGTATGTATTAAACACGATTTGGGTGAAATACTGCCGATGTGACTATAACTCACTCACTCACTCATGATATATTAAAATCAGCAATACATAGAGTATGGAACAAACGGTCGAATGGTTGTAAATAGACATGGTTCCTGGAACGTACATTCAACACAATGCTACCGAGTGTATCACTTTGACTAAACCTAACGGTTGGTGAGCTTTATTAGGGCTTTTCCGATGAATTTCTTCCATATATGTCATAAACGTTTCTTTGCTTCAATGTCCACGAAGGAACTTTGAATATTTTCACCACATTTTTATTGATTAAATGTATAAACCATTCGTAATATTTATGAAACGATGTCTGCAATAAATAAAGTCAAGGACAAAATAATCAGTCTTAATTATTCATCGAAACAAAACACGATCTAAAGGCGTGATGAGGAAGCAAAAAGTATGATTATCTGTGTTTCAATAACCGTAAATTCATGCGAATATCTGCAGCTGTGGTTCCACAAGGGTTGACGTTGTTCTTAGCTGTAATGTTCAACTACTCTGACCTCGTTATCCATCTTCCTTTTTGTAGAGGTCTCTCAGCACACCAGACACCGATAAAGATGACCCCAGAGGTCTGCTTGGTGAGCAGCAGGCACAATCATCCAACAGATCCTGAACTCTCTTCCATACACACTTCAACCAAAACATGTTATAGCAATGTCATAATATGTTAATTTTAGACTCTGTAATTGGTCAAACAAACTGGGCATAAATAATTAAGAATATTCTTTACTCTTTTGGATTTGGCTTTATGAGGGAACCGCAGCAAAATTTATGTAATGTCGATAAATTCATATGAGAATTTGTTTTTAGACTATGAGCAAGTTATGAACAAGAATAGTCCTAAATTTTCACTTTATTCTTGTTTTAAAATCTCATTTAATGTTGAATTTTACATAAAAGATTTATCAATTTCAAAATTCCGATTAGCCCTTGCTAAATTTAGATGTTCTTCACACCGCCTCCAAATTGAAACCGGTCGATATAATTGATCAACCCAGATCAATAGATTATGTTTTGTATGTAAAGATAACTTTATTCAAAACGAATTTCATTTTATTTTGGTATGTAAATGTTATCGAAATCTGAGATGTTTGTATTTACCACATAAATTTTATTCGAATCCCACTATTCATAAGTTTAATATGCTCATGTCAATTGGCATGCAATATTTGTAAAAAACCTAGCTATTTATATACACAATGCAATGAAACTTAGAGATTCACTTCTATGCCAATAATATCATATTTCATTTTGTATATTTTGTATTGTCTTCTCGCCTCCACTACAAAAGAAAATAAAGATTGATTGATTGAGTAACCAAAACAGGAGCGTGGAGCAAATCTGGAAACATTTTACACATGTATTTTGAACATTTTAAACACATTGGTAATAGATTCAGTGGTTGTGTATTTGGCCTCAATATTCAGGTTAACACATTATTCTACTAATAGTTATAGAAAAAGAACTGTTCAAACAACAAATGGACATTCCTGTCTTACAGTGCACGTGGATATACATTACATTATTGTTATATTATGTAACCATAAGCTCTGGTGATAAATATAGTTTTTACTGATATATGCATAACCTGGTGAAACCAAAGAGACGGTTATGATTATGCTTGTTTCTGTCAACGATAATTATTGACCTAGTTATATGAACTATTAAAAGAAATAATATTCTACTGTATATGTGTCAGTTATATCTATTTTCGATCTGTTTGAATACTGATATAATTCAACAACGTTGTGAAGCTCACAGTGAATGACGTATGATTATACCAAACAGTGAGATACTTGCAGCACATGAGATGACATCAGACAAACATACTCCATTAGCCCTAGTCATTACTAGCCGCAGTACACATTGATACAATTGTATACATTTTAGCACTGACGGTTAATTAATAATATTGCTTAATATGCTGAAATGGTAACTGTTTATACAAAGGGCAACTCATGACAAAATGGGGAGATAGTCATACATGGTAAAAAAACATATTCAGATAATATAATATTTATGTGACATTACCAATAACTCGAAATATTGCTTGCATGCACATGTTTGAACTCCAGGTCATATTCGGTCTTCAACAACATAAGCTTGACAGATAAAAGAACTTTAATTGACATGTTAAAAGGCAGATGAATAGTATGTTGTGGTTATGCCTAGTAGTAGAGGGAATGGGGGTTTTGGACCAGTTCCAACAAAAGCCTCTACAAAGCCTTATTCCCCAAATAAGGCTTTGGTCGGACCCTTAGCTCTTACTACCATTACCCCTACTACTTAAAAGTAGTAAAATGTCCCCGGCAGCCACAATTCCCCAAGGGAGAAATAAAAATGTATTGCGCTTCCTCCCAAGGGGAATTGTGTCTCTCACCGTGAGAGAACCTCACATCACACAAAGTGACGGCGGGATACGAATCCCACATGTACAGTTTGCGCAGACTACACATAATGGGATCACACCACTCAACCGTCTGAGCTACTGCGGACTTAGCTGAAGTAGGTCAGTTTAACGGGTTTATCATGTGATCACACACACCCACGCATCACGTGCTGTTGACAGGAGGTAACACTGTGCCGTACGGTACAATCAATAGTCCTCTGTCTGGCCTATCAAGTAGTACAGTCTGCTTTCATTTTCACTTTTCTCTATGTTGGCTCCACGTGACACTATGTCACGTTGACCTCGATGAAACAGTTGAACGTGAATCGCCTATGATCTCTTTGGTGTTCGTAATGAAGGCTTGCCGGGCTTTTTTCACCCCCGTACTTTTTTTTCTCGGCCTCGCTGATAGCAGACTTACGAGACTTACATCGAATCTCTTGTTTCATTTTGTCATATTTTGTGAGTTCAGAGAGGATTGAACGAAACTCCTCCTCTGAGATCTTACTGTCAGTGAGTGCCGTGGAAATACGCTCACTGTGTTCAGCTTTGCTTCAGCCAGAACACTGATCTCGTCATGTTTCAACGCCTTACGATGCCTGCAAACAACACTAAACTCTATGCAAAAAATATACATCAAACAGCACCACTTCAGTGATCAGACTGCATCATACAAATCAGACTGCAAACAACACTAAACTCTATGCAAAAAAATATACAGCACCAAATTCAGTGATCTACGAGCATCATACAGTGATCAGATTGCATCATACAGTGATCAGACTCTATACAACACACTATGCAGTGATCTGCAAACACTATGCAAATATACACTAGTGGCATCATCCAGTGTCATACAGATTACCCTACAAACATCACCAAACTCTATACACATCATACAGTGATCAACCTGCAAACATCAACATATTCAGTGATCAGAGACTGTAAATATCATTGATCAGACTGCAAACATCACTTCAGTGATCTGCAGATATCACTAAACTCTATGCAAAAAAATATACATCAAACATCACACTTTAGTGATCTGCAAATATCAACATATTCAGTGATCAAACTACACACATCGTACAATGATCAACATGCACACACAGTGATCAACCTGCAAACATCATACAGTAATCAAACTGCAAACATCATACAGTGATCAAACTACACACATCGTACAATAATCAAACTGCAAACATCATACAGTGATCAAACTGCAAACATCGTACAATGATCAACCTGCAAACATCAACATATTCAGTGATCTGCAAACATCAACATATTCAGTGATCTGCAAACATCACTTCAGTGATCAGATCACTAAACTCTATGCAAAAAATATACGTCAGTGCTCACCACTTCAGTGATCAGCCTGCAACATCAATAAACTCTATACAGTGATCAGCCTGCACACTGGTCAGCTCATTCTATCAACCCGTATTCACCGATCTGCAAACAATGATTAGCCTGCAAACATCAACATATTCAGTGACCAGACTGCAAGTATCACCTCTATGCAAACACATTCAGTGAGACTCACCTCAGTGATCTACAAACATCATACAATAATCAGACTGCAAACATCACTTCAGTGAACTGCAAACATCACTGGTGACCGCAAACATACAATAATCAGACTGCAGATATCACATCAGTGATCTGCAATACACACTATTCAATGATCAGACTGCAAACATCACTAAACTCTATGCAAAAAATATACGTCAGTGCTCACAACTTCAGTGATCTGCAAGTATCATACAATGATCAAACTTCAAGCATCATACAGCAGATATCATACAGTGATCTGCAAACATCAACACATTACAGTGATCAGACTGCAACTCTATACAAAAAATACACTATACAGTGATCAGACTGCAACTCTATTTAATGATCAGACTGCACACAATACACACTATTCATTGATCAGACTGCAAATATCATATCAAATTGCAAACATCATACAGTGATCAGATTGCAATGCACATTATTCGGTGATCTACAAACATCAATAAACTCTATACAGTGATCAGACTATAAGCATCAATTCAGTGATCTGCAAACATCAAACAGTGACCAGACTGCAAACATCACTTCAATGATCTGCAAACAACACTTAACTCTATGCAAAAAATATACGTCAGTGCTCACCACTTCAGTGATCAGACTGCAACTCTATTCAGTGATCAAACTGCAAACATCAATAAATTCAGTGATCTGCAAGTATCATTGATCAGACTGCAAACATCACTTTATAGGAGCCTTAAAATCTGTAGGGCACCATGAGTTTCAGCAACCCCAATGCAATGGAACCAAAAAAGCCCAACATTTCGAGATTTTCCCTTTAGACATTTGGTGCCCAAGCATGTATACAGCAACCTATTCGTATTTCCAGAAATATGGCAACCGAAGCAACTTTCGAAAATATGGGCTTGCGAGTTGAAAAAGCAGTGGCATACCACCTCCTACTGGAAAATACCGTGGGAAGCAATCTTCTCCCGGACATTGCCCGTGTAGACTATCTCGATGGCCATCTCTGCAAAACAAACCTCCAACCACTGGAAGGCCTACCTACATTTGTGGACGATATATACGTATTTGGCTATCTTCGGTGAAATGACTGTGTCTATAAAAAGGAGCCGTGTATTGCACCATCGGAGAAAAAGGAACAGCATCTATTGTAGTTTCCAATATAGCGAGTGCAGTGCACGGGAATCTTTCGGGCAAGAGGAAGGCTACGTGCAAACCAAAATCGTACATACATATACCATAATATACCATAGCATGTCCCTCTGAAACCAACTGTGCGAGCACTGTACAATGAATCTCTACACGAAAGAAACCCGATATTCGAAATATTCGTGGCAAAGTAGATGTCTCGGAAATACCTATGGAACAAATACAAGCCAATATTTCCAATTCGAACGATTTCTATTGGCACATGGCTTTGGCCTGTATTCTATCGACTATACCAAGGATTTCTCTGGCACCCTAGATAGAAAGTGTCTCGTGGAATACCTCCAAAGGATACACGACTTTCGAAACCAAAGAGATCTTGCAACTGCCATGGACTGCGAGGGACCCACCATCCTGGATAATACAAGAAATGTAGGCAACCACGTCTGTACTTGGGTTGGAACCTGGAATGGCTATACCATGCGAACAAAAATCTACAACAAAGTAGTTTCCAATTTCGAAGCAGGAGAAGTGCGAGAACACATCGGTGGCCATTTGGCCGACTATGCGGATTACTCCAACGAACACCTGCGGAAAACCTTTCTCCATCCAGATGTCCAGGCTAGAGGTTGTACTCACATAGAGGTCTCTGTGTACGCGCATAGAACCAACACCGCAATTGCCAACAATTTGGGGGACGAAGCACTAGAGTTGTTCTCGGGGGAAAACCTATTTGTAGTACAACCACCAGCAAAACAGCGGGAGAATCTATCGAAATGTCTAGACCGTTGCATGGTGCTTGCAGACAGACCCCAGGGGACTATCTTCGTGGGTTGGTATGCACACACGGGCACGGGAAGAGTATCCGGGAATCCAAGTACAACCAACCAAAGCCAACG